AAGAAGAAGAAGAAGAAGAAGAAGAAGAAGAAGAAGAAGAAGAAGAAGAAGCAGCTTCTGCTGCTATAGGACAACTTAAGGGAGAAGTTAAAAAAATTAATGAAAAGTGGAAATTTTAGAAAGTAAAACAGAAATAGTAAACAGAGAGGTGGAAAAGGACAATCTGGCATTCTTGGAATTGTGAGAAAAAGAATTCTGCTTGAGACTTATAGCCGTTCCAGAGGATCCTGGAGAAGACACTAGAGAACAGGTTGTTCAGTCCTTAACAAGCTTTCTGAACAAGTGAAAGACGGTATGATAAAATGGGCTAAGAACTTTGGACACAATATATTGATTTATAAAATGATGGTATATGACTCCAGAAAAATTGTCTAGAATGTATAAAGGTACTTCAAATTTATGTTGGAAATGTGGACAACATGAAAGTCATTTTATCATGCCTGTTGGACTTGTAAAAAAGCCAGAAATTTCTGGGTTCAAATACATATAATGATACAAAGAATGTTAAAGATCAACATTCAGCTGAAACCAGAACTGTTCTTGCTGGGATTAAAGGACAGCCAATTAGAAAAGAGCCATGGAAGATTATTTTTATATATGATTACTGCTGCAAGACTATTATATGTGTAAAAATGGAAAGACTCTGAAATACCCACAACAGAGGAATGGTTCGTGAAGATGACAGAACTAGCAGAGATGGCAAAATTAACTTGTCTGATTAGAGAAAGATGAACAACTACATTTATCAGTGACTGGAAACACCTTATGGATGTTTTGATGAAAAAAGAGAAAAATGAACTTGTGATTTATCGGTTTGAAGATTAGAAAGGGCAGTTTATGGAAAGAAGGAAATTATGATGTAACTTTAGAGAGAGAGGGCAAACTATAAATGCATTATAACTGCTGTCAAGAAGATTGGAAGCCTAGCCTAGCCTAGCCTAGCCTTGCCTTGCCTTTCCTCTCCTCTCCTCCCCTCTCTCCTCTCCTTTTTCACTATTTACTATTTTTCCTCATTATCTTTATTTTCTTTTATGGTGTTTTACTTTGTTAAACATTTCTTCTATAAAAATTATCAAAGCAAGATGTCTTAATTCAAGAAGACCAAAACTGTACCCAAGGCCCAATTACAATGTAATCACAGGAATTTTCACCAGCTTGTGTAGTGGGGAATTTTATTGCTTTTGAGATCTAGCCCTTCCCAGCTCTGTAAATCATTGTTGCACACACAAGTGGGGGTTCAGAACAGACAAGAAACAGCTGGGTTGGCTGTAAATATTGTGATTGTTCATTATTGCAGCATACTTCCCCCCCCCCGAGACTTTTTTTTTAGTTGTAGTATTGGTAGAATATGGAAAATGGCCTGGGAGGTGTTACAGTATTGCCAACAGGACAACTCAGTGGTGGGATGGTCCCTTTGGGCATTACTAATTCACCTCTGTGGCTTTTACATAGAAACTGAAGCATTCGCTTTGAATTATCTTTACCTGTGGTTCTAGAAGAGCGGTTGGCAAACTTTTTGATAGTACATGGCCATATTTAAAATTAAGGCGCACAAGAGGTGAGGCAGTGATGCAAAGGGGGGGGGGCGTGGTTTCAGATTTTCCATAATTTCCCAGGTTGGGGATTGTTGAGACTCTTAAAGTACTTTGGTTGCACATTTGTTTAAGGACTACACTTAACCATTCTGGTGTTTTCTGCCTCAAATTATCATGAAGCCATTTTCAGGAGATCCAAGGCAGGAACGGGCAACCTGTTTTGACCTGGAGATAAGATGTAACCTTAGTGGAGCAGGCAGGCACATTTATGCTATTTGGGGTGGGGTGGGGTGGGATTTTGCCATATTAAAGGGGAAAAATATACATGCTTTAAAGTTCCCATTTTTACCCTTATCCCGCAAATGAGTCTGAAACATTTTAATCTTGTCCAGTTTAGGGGGCTTTGAGGCTACCAATAGAGTACTTTACAGCTTCAAATGGTCTACGGGTTGCTTACCCCTTCTATAAAATTTTTTGACTAAAAGGTATTCTTTGCAATTGCCATAATTTATTTGCTCTGTATTTTCTATTATAAATATAGCATTATTAGAGTGTTATTGATATTCACTACTGTATTAGTATGCTATTGTCTGCATTTTGTCTACTTCATTTATTCATCAGTGTCTGAGCAGTGACCAAGTTACCAGGAAAGGTGGAATTCACCTATTTCATTAGACATACAGAGGGTAATGGTGATGGCATTAGATGGTCACATAAGATCCCTGATGAGGAATCTTGGGTCCTTTTCTAATACTTCTTTTAACCAAGGATTTTGAACTGACCTATCACCTTGCTCTTTGGTTTCGCAGCGCTACTTTAGAATGCCAGCTTCAGAAATTTAATATAGTATTCAACTGCTACAATTCTAGCTAGTTTGCCTTGGTGAAATGGCATTTTACCACTTGTGAAGGACCAAACTATTTACAGTTGAGCCCAATTCAAAAAATTACTGCTTACCTTTTAAAGGCCAAGATACTTTAGGCCCAGATAACTGAAAACCTGCCCTAATGTTAACCTGTGTATTAAAAAAATAATCAGAAGGCATCTTTCTGAAAAAGATGGATTTTTCCATGATGGTATGACAGGTACAAATGTTTGGGACTGGGTTACAATGTTTTTTCTTTTCTTTTTTCTCAAGTCTACTATCTTTTGGTTTAGATTTCATATACTTTTATGTATCAAATTTTATATATCCATTTTTTAAAAAACAAAGGCATGGTCTAAGTTAGTAAAATAAACAACGTAATCTTAAGCATTCATCTGTGCTTTGCCCATCTCAGTTCAGGAAGGCGAACACAGCAATTGACACATTTTCTCCTTTTGCAATCTGTAATCCCAATAAGGAACAAAGTGCAATTTATTTAAACTGGAAACTACTCATAATTCATGCAAGGAATTTATTGCATAATAATAAGTACTGATGATTGCTAACCTACATGGTTTTTCTGTTCCCCCTGAATTTGTTTCTGAATGGCCCTTTTATTCAAGCATCAGTATGAGGGCCACATAGAATTTCCAGCTTCAGAGGCAGCATTTTATGGAATACTAGTTTCAAAGACAGCAACAATCAGAGTTACAGGTAGCCCCCGGGTTAACAACACCCAGATTACAGACAACCCATAATTAAGAATGGAGCCTACTGTAGCAAAATTTGAGTTAAAAACACAATGGTTAGTGTTATTACACAATACCACTTATACAGTATTATACAATAATACTGTTCCAGTTTACATACAATTTGACTTAAGGGCAGATGGGAACAGAACCTGTCCTTAAACTGGGATGCCTGTATTTCCTAATTCCTTCTTCATCAGTTTCTGATAGGCAACTAAAAGGAGAAATATGCTTGATCAGACCTAATTTCAGAAAAAAAAATTATCTTGTGAACCAGATCACCTAATTTTACTGCTATACTGCTACAGTTTGACCTCTTGCTCATTCTAATAAAACAAATCATCCATTTCTAGCTTAATGTCTATATTGCTGGTTCTTTTATGGCATATTCCTGTAAGATGTTTATTCCTGTAAGATGTTTAACATCACACTGACAACTCTGGGTACATGGGCAAAATATAGAAAAATTTAACTACTCTTTTCACTTCTCAGCCAAGCAACCCCAAGAAAATAATTGTGAAGCACAAGATTCAGCATAAAATAAACTGAATGTTCTTTAATTAAATTGCTTCAAACCTAGCTCCATGCTATTTAACATCCAATAAATCTTCTGATTTCAAAAGGTATAACTATGAACTGTTGAAAGCCAGAAATAAAAGCATATATTGAGGGAGAGGGAAGGACAGAAAAGGAAGGGATAACTGCCTAAGTAACAATTAAACAAGATTATAAAATGAATTTATCTGGATACTGCCTGCCTCACACTTTGGTTCCAAAAAGGGAAAATGTATTAGTTTATTACAAATCCCAATGGTATACATCTACATGCAAGTATATAATATAAAGATCAGTATACCCATATTCTTTGTAAAAATAACTATGCTGATAACAATTACACCCAAAGAGTATCTGCTTAACAGGAAACCAACAAAATCAAAGGGGTAAGCATGACTTTACAGGAAAGGACAATCCTGTTCCTAATCTTGTGGCATTTCTCTAGCATTTGCAGGATGATAGTATCATATTGTCATTCCTTCTTAAAGCGTACATCTTGAACATGCGTGCAAAAGGAAAAACAATTTAAAAACCTACTTTCACAAACACTGGGGAACATATTTAATAACATGAGCACAAGTATCTACAGAAGTAAGTTTTAACGATAACACATAGCTGTTTTGAAGACAAAACAAGGATACGAAATGCTTCTTTTCAGTGTTACTGACTACAAGATTAATTTCTTTGCTGAGATAATTAATTGTAAGAATACTGATACAAAAATAATTTATTTACAAGTAAATTGTTTAAAGTCAAAATAATACATAAAATTATAGAAACATATAATCACTTCCCTAATTAAGAACTCTCTGAAGATATTAAAATGACCAAATTCAAATAGAAATTAAAAGTCAACCAGTTTTCCATGAACAATCATGACATCCTATTTTACTCCCTTAACTTTGTTTCACTATCCTGCATGCATGTGGGTTTTTTCACTACAACATAATTCATCTAGAAAACATCTGTGACTTTCACTAACAGTGCTGTAAACAATATCTGTGTATTGTACAGTATTAATTTCTCTTTAAAAAATGATTCATCATTTACTTCCATCCTGTGAAAAGAACTAGTGTGTTAATATATTGAAAAAAACCCCCAATCAGTAACAGGAAATACACTTCATTACTTTTTCGAGGCTATTTCTATATACATGTTACATAAATGGGAAATGTTTTAACTGTAGTATACAATGAAGAAAATATTGCAGCATTTAGGTGGTTTGCTGCTCAGAAGAAATACTGAGATTTAGCTTGATAGTTTTAAGAGCACTTTAGGTTTGTCTCTATTTTCTTTTTTAAAAAATTAAAATACTGACAGTTTGTCCTCTTGCCCCAAGGATTAACAACTAAAAAACAGTGCTATTAAAATTAAAATCAATACTGAGGCTCCTTAAACTGCAGGAACAAATAATGGAACTGGAAGAATTAAAAAAGCTATTAAAGGGGTATTCAGTATTTGTGTAAAGTCCAAATCTCTATTTACATCACAAAATAAATTTAAAAGGATCAAATCACTTTACAGAAGCATTTCCTCTTCAGCTCTTCCCCTTCTCTTTTGCAGCTTCTTACAAGTCATATATTTTGTTGGTGTTTCGCCTTAGAGTAGCTAACATGGCAGGTAATGACACCTCTTTGAGATAGGCAATCTCTTTCACTGTGTGCAGAGCTACTCCAGGATGAGAAAACTGGCTTGCACTTTTTGGCACCTAGAAAAAAAAATGGAGCTTTAGACGAAGAACAGGTTTATATTCTATACACAAGAACCAATCAGAATGTAGATTTAAGAATTCAATAATTATTACATCTTGTGTAATGTAGACATTTTGATAAGGTATGTTTTTCTACTGCTGCAAATAGTTGCTTTGACTAACAATGTGTCTAGCAACACTGTAGAGTGTAAAAAAGGATGCAGTTGCTGACAGATCTACACGTAGTCCTTGACTTATGACCATTTAACGACTGTTTGAAGTTATGATAGTGCTGAAAAAAGTGACTTACGACCAGTCTTTGAACCTGCAACCATTGCAGTGTCCCTACAATCACATGATCAACATTTGGGCACTTGGCGACCAGCTTGTATTTACAACGGTTGCAGCATCCCAGGGTCACATGATTGCCATGTGCAATCTTCCTCGGGGGCTTTTGACAAGCAAAGTCAATGGGGGAAGCCAGATTCACTTAATGACTGCATGTTTCGTATAACGACCGTGGCAAAAAGATCATAAAATCGGGCACAACTCACTTAATGATTGCATTGCTTAGCAACAGAAGTTCTGTTCCCAACTGTGGTTGTAAGTCGAGAACTACCTGTTCACATCTCTTCTTATTTACTCCTAGACTGAGGGAGAGTTTGACATCTACTGTATCTTTCTTCATTCCTCCAAGAAAGTTCTGTTATCAATAAACTGATGCGCAACTGGTAGCAATTTCAGCCTCATGTTTCACTTCCCTTACAGCAGTGGTTCCCAACCTTTTCTATGCCCCACACCCCTAGGAATTGTTTGATTAATGTTTGCACCCCCTATAAAAGTAATATCACATTTGAAGATGTAGTACTCAAGGCTGTGACTTCTGACTCATCACTAAGGGACACAAGCCACTCTTTGTTGCATCCCCTGAAATTCCATCTTGTACCCCCTGGGGTGCCCGCATCCCAGGTTGGGAACCCCTGCCTTACAGCATTCAGTTACCCCCAACTTCTCTGTATTTCTCAGCCCCCAAAATCTCTATAAAATCCCTATATACAGTATGACTAAAACAGTCATCATCCCTAAGACCACAAAATAGCTTCTTGTCATCCCATGTGAACCACTATTACTTCCCAGATGTTAACCTCTTCTTATTCAAGGTGAAATTCTGCCTTAATATAGCATGCTGTTTGAGGAACTACAGTATAGGCATAATTTTCTAAAAAGTGCAGTGGCAATGTATTAAGTTAAAATAGTTTTGATGCCCAGAAATGGGCTGGATTCCAAATGTGTTTTGGAATCCCCTCTAGCAGTAGGAGATTTAACCTGTTTCTACTAAAGAAGCAGCCTATAATAGCTTCTTTATATAACCTTTGTAAGGGTTTTGGAACACATTAAGTATTTAACAGTATACAGAAGCATGGAATAAAGAATTGAAAATTCTGATATATTATATTTTGTCATATTACTACTATATTATTACTACTATACTGTTACTATAATTCATAATTATATCTATGTATCTTTTTAGGAAGAAATTTTTAGAGATGTGATGCTCAAAATGCAACATTGCTTCATATGATGTGGTACATACTATATATTTTTTTAATTTTTATTTTATTTATTATTAAATTTATATGCCGCCCATCTCTCCCAGAGGGTGACTGTATGGCTGTCTTTGACGGACGTTATTTTGCATACTACTTTTGTTCTTCAAGACTCATTAGACTCATTAGTTTTAGAAAACACAGGTAGTCCTCAGTTAACGACCATTTGCTCAGCAACCATTCAAAGTTACAGTGGCACTGAATGAATGGTACTTATGCCTGGTCCCTGCAGTTATGGCCATTGCAGCAGCCCCGTGGCCAAGTGATATAAAAATTGGGCATCTGGCAGCCTCCTGCACTTATGACCACAGGGGCACTTCAACTCTCCCCACCTGCCTATCTCCCCCCGAACCTCTGCCCTTTTTTCTGCCCTACATAGTGGCGGTGGTGGTGCTGGGGCTGAAGTAGAGGCCTGGGGCCTTCAGCAGTCTTACTCATCCTCTACTTCAACCCCAGCGCCACCACTGCCAAGGAGTGCTGCCTCAAGCCCCACACTGCAGCCAGCTACCCCAGTGCAAAGCCCCAGCCTTGCAGGTCCTGCTGCACTCAGGTGACTTTTTTAGTCTTCCTCCTGCTGCTGGTGAGGCGTGCCTGGCCTGGCCCTATGCGAGGCAACAGCTGGCTGTGCCAGGCCTTCTCCCGAGGCTGCGTGCATGCTTCTCTAAGCCGTGCACTGCCTGCTCATGATGCTTCAGAAGGCTTCTGAGGCCTTCGGAAAGCTCGTGAGAAGGCAGAGCATGTTTTGGAGAAGCGTGGATACAGCCTTCTCATGAGCTTTTGGAAGGCCTCAGAAGCCTTCTGAAGCATTGTGAGGAGGCAGCACGTGGTTTAGACAAGAGCATATGCAGCCTTGGGAAGAAGGCCTGGTGCAGCCAGCAGTTGCCTCACATAGGACCAGGCCAGGTGCGCCTTGTCAGCAGTGGGAGGAAGAAGATGGCAAAGGTCAGCTGGGTGTAGCAGGGCCTGTGGAGCGCAGGGCAGCGGGGACAGCTGGGGCTTTATACTGTGGTGGCTGGCCGCAGCGTAAGACTTGAGACAGCACTCCTCATCAGCAATGGCGGCACTGGGGTTGAAGTAGAGTCCTGGGGGAGGCAGCTGGCTGAGACTGCGGAAGGTCCTAGGCCTTTACTTCAGTCCCAGTGCTGCTGGTGTGGAGTGCTGATGTGCAGGGCAGCGAAAAGGGCAGAGATGGGAGGGGGGAGATAGGTGGGTGAGGGGAGTTGAAAAGGAGGCAGTCCCTTACCTTACCAAGTCTCAGGGCTGGGGGGGACCAAGCTTGAATTGGGGTGGGTCCTCACCTAACAACTGGTGGGATTCAGTTAACAACGTCAATGGGGACTGCCAGGATTGTTGATGCTAAGCGATGCAGTCACGTGACATCACACTTTACAATCGCATCATTTAGTGTCAGAAATTCCAGTCCCAATTACTGTGGTTAACCAACTACCTGTATGTTCTTTCACTAATAATGCTTGCATTCTATTGGTAAGCATCCCATTTGGAGAACTATTCTGAAATTTGGACTGCCAATACTAACTGATAAGTTTAATTCTCTTTTTTCCTACTAAGTAAATTGACTTAATAATTATGTAACACATCATGAATAACTAATGTAAGTTAACATGAACTAGGAATAATTTTGCTTAATATATAAAATATGTAGTTGTTGAAGGTTATTTTTCCTCTGCTTTATTTATTTTCTTTTGCATATCACAAAAAATACAGCAATGAAGACAGAATTAAATTAGAACTACTTTTAGATCTATTTAGAAGTGTTACAAAAATACTGAATTCAGCTTTTACTGGACATGCAAAGCTGTGGACTAATGGAATCATTTGGTGCCTTTAATTTTGTAATATCTTTACTATCAATCTTTTGTTACAGTTTTCCAAGACATCATATGGATCATCTATTTTATCCCAAATCAAGAGGAAAGGTAACATGTCAGCTTTTAAACATTTCAAAATCTCCTTTCCTATTCCTAAGACCTTCCCTCTCAAAAACAAAACAAAACAAAACAAAACAAAACAAAACAACTCTTATGTTAATGCAGTGTTAAACTGTGAAAGATAATGGATCCATTTTTAAAAAATCTTACCTGCCGAGGAAGGAAATAAGGTGCATCTGTTTCTACCACTATTCTACTTAATGGGATTTTTCGAACAGACTCTCTAGCCTCGTTTGCTGATGGGTAAGTCAGCAATGCTGTGAATCCAACAGTTAGATTTGGAAAGTAGTCTAAAAGTGGTTCAATGACACTATACCTGCCAGTGAAACAATGCCTATGAAGAAAGCAAAAATAACGGTCATCCTACAATGTCAAATGAATAACCAGTAACAAGAAAACATTGAAGAAGGTCATACTAAAGATTTGACAAAACAGTTATTCAGCATGATAGCTGCCATCTCAGTAATTCTTTTTTGTATGAAAAACCCAATACAAATGCTTTAGCCAAAATGATCTTGAATGAAAACAATCACTTATGGAATCTTACTTCAATGAAATTGAATTTTTTCAGTCAGATTATGGGTTCATTTTCAGCTCTGATTTATTGGTTAGAAGATTCCATGGAAAAATGATTAGATATTGTTCAGCTGTCCATAAATCTAAGATCTGGGGAACTGAAACCTCTCCTTAGCTTCTAGAATTTGTCCAAGATGTTGTAGCCTACACAGTAATATTCTAATCAGGCAGACTGTTAATGCCTTCAGCATTCTATTACTGTTTTTTAAAAAAATAAAATAAAAGGAATGGTACAACTTAAGAACATAGCACAATTACCTGTGTATTTTGTAGTCTTTTGGTACACATTTTTTCATGATTTCTAACAGATCACCATCAGCATCTCTGCAGTGAATGACCAATGGCTTCCTTAAGGAAACAGCTAGATTCAGTTGCCTCTCAAAAACCTGAAGCAAGTAAAAAGCAGCACATCTTCAAAGGCCATTATAACTGCCCTGAGAACAAAAGTAAGACATGGGGGAAATATGCTTCCATTAAGCACAGCCGTTATGATTTATACTCCAAAATCCATTCCAAAACACAAAAGCCTGCTCTAGCAGCAAAGATTCCACTTGGTTTTCATAGCAACTGCAGTAAAAACTGCGTATGGAACAACATTCTTTGAACCACTGAGGCAGCCACATTCTCTGGAAAGCCCCTGGCTGCTTCAAAGGCTTTGGCAGGTTATCTGTGAATGAATGTGCACGCACCACTGCTTTGTGTTGATGACAGCCAGTGTCCCTTCAAATGTTTTGCACAATCCTAACAGACTAAACCATACAGGTGATATTATTCCTGATACTTATTCCTCTTCTGGTTACTTAAATGACACTGACTAAACCTCATAGAACTAAATGATGTGTACGGAGCTCATATTAGCACATCACCTCCAGGAAACAAAAAATGTACTGCTTATATTCTACAAACATTACAAATGATGAAAGTTATTTCTTTTACAAATGTATCCAAATCAAAGCATATTATGAGTATTTAGATATAAGGAATACTGGGCTGTTTTCAGTTATGTACCTCTTTCAACATTGTAGGACACCACTGCATGTATCTGTTTGGAAGCAGCATTTCACAATGATTCAGCAATCCACTCGGAGCACAAAACATTCTGAATTCGTAATGTTCTGACTTTACATTTGAAACGGTAGTTTAAGCTGAACACTCCCTGAATTGATTGGAACAATACTGGGCACTTCCAGCAAGACCAAAACAGCCATTTTGAACTTGGAGCAGAGCACCTGGATTTCAAAATGTGGCATATGAATTCAAAACATTTTGTGCTCTTCTACAATCCACCACTCATTCTGTTTATCAGACTATCATCATCAGTGATTCGACAAGGTATTTTCTTTAAAGCCAGTTAATCAACTCAACTACTGTTGTTTAGTACCACACAATTATAAAGTACATAATACGCTGTAGTATAAAAATTTACCTTATGCTGCTTTGAGATTTCTGTAGTACATTTATAAGAGTAATCCAGTCCTATTTCGCCAAAGGCAATAGCTTTGGGGTGTCTCATTGCCTGCAAGAGATTTCTTTCATGAAGGTCTGTGTAATAACGAGCAAAGTGGGGATGGCAGCCAAATGCCCCCCAAACCATGTCTTCCTTTAATAAATCTTCCCATAAGTTGTTGTTCAAAGTACGAGGGTCACAAAAGTCAGCTATACAGCCTTGAAATTCTTCAGGAAAGGTGCTACTATATGTTTTCCTAAATTCAGAAAAAGTGCCTCTGAAAGCTGTTTTTGAATATAACATGTCCAAATGGCAGTGTGTATCAATAAATCCTTCTTGTAAATATTTGGGCAATCTCCTAGGCAAATCCTGGTTTACACAATTATTAATGAAAGAGTCTGACTTGCGTGATGAAGAGAAGACAGGAACATATGTTCCTATTTCCATACTCCGGTGTCTGTTTTTTTCTTTACAGTCTAATAGAGAACCATATGACCACACTCTCTCTTGCATACTTTCCACTGAACGTTTTCTACCCTTTGATGAATTTATTGGGGTATCTAAAGAAATATCACAAAGATTATTGGAATATGAAGTGTTTTCAGTGGGGCTTGAAAAAGAATGTGTTGGCTTTGGATTGCTTGTCCAATATTTTGCATAATCGTTCATTTTCTGACTGTACAAATGAGGAGGATACATCACAAATTCTGTTGTTGATACTGATGTTTCCATCGTTTCTGAAGTATGTTGTTTAGGGATGGAATCTTCTTGTGAAAAAGTAACCAGTGATTCTCCATCCTCCATGTCAGACCAATCATTTTCAGCTGAAAGCTCTTTCTTGTACTCCATACACTGTAAAAAAAAAAAGGGGGGGGATCAACATAAGATGGACATAAAAGTAACTTGATGAGACTTATTCAAAAGTCAAATCCAGTTTTTTTCTATAAGTATATTTAAAATGACAGCCATCTCCCTTTGTATGTATTTTCTCATGTCTATCATACAGGACAAGAAAGTGAGATAAACAAAAGTATAAAATATTCTACATTGGAATGCTTTTCTTGTTCTTGGCTTCAGATGAAACAAAATACAAATGGATGACAAGATAAGGTTGGTGCATGTCACTTCTCTCCTCTCAGCAGTTTCCAGTGTAGCATATTCCACTGACCTACCTGCCCCTAACCTTCCCAAAGGCTTGGCTTTTCCCCAATGTCCCAGTGCAACACATTCTATCAGCAGGCCAGCACAATCTTCCCATTGCCCTCCCTTTCCTCTCTCACCTAAGCTGCTGATATACACTAAGCACCTAAAACCAGCTGTTCTATACAGCTGATTTTGCACACTACTATCTTTAATTTATTAGGCTTGCCACAGTTCTATGATAAGGAAGATGTGTCCATCATCACAGAAAAAAAAGGATAGCTCAAATTCCTATAATAAAAAAATAAAAAAATTACATATAAAGCAAGAAGATGATTCATAATATATCATTCAGCAAATAGTTGGAAGCAATATGATTAACTAAGGATAACTCATTCTGGGTAATTTGCTAGGCCTACTATGAAAATCTGACTAAAATGTATGTATTCTTAATAACGTCTGTATCAGAAATCTTTAAAAATCATGCAACTTGTTAAACATACCACAGAAAAGCTAACATAGCTTCAAAAGAGTTATGAAATTAATCTATGAATCTATGTATGCCAAGTACTGAAACAACATTTCAGCAAAAAATAGATCTTCTGTGTATCTGGAATTACATGTTAAAAACTCTTCTAGATCAAATTCCCATCCATCGCTGAAATCTCCTACAATGGTGCCACCTCTAAAAGTCTATGTAATTAGAATTCCTAAATATTTTGTCAATTAAAATGACTCCCTTGACATTTAAGTCTGCTACAATTCTTGCCCTGTCAACATAAAGATTAATGAAAATCCAAGGGAATTTTAGCACATTTCTAGACTAAGTTGCAAGCGTGCTTTCATTCAAGTTTCTGAGAGTTTACCTGGATTAAAACAATGACATTAATACTATTTAGCAATTATTCCCTTTCAGAAATACCCCTCTGTAGGTTAATGTTTCACCTGTTGATGTGTTTCTGAATCATCCATAAACACTGGTTCTGGTGAGGGTTTCACAATAACTGTCCTCTGGAAATTCAGAAACTTCTCTGCAGCATCACTTTGTGCATTAGATGAAGTGGAGGAAATGCACCTGTCTTTTGCTATGTTTTTTCGTTTTGTGCAAGTACTAACACCTTTTACAAGAGCTTTCTGATTGTTGCTAATCTGCTTGGCTTGTTCACCTTCACATTTTGAATCTTCAGATACATATCTCAGGTGGGTTTCTGATTTCCAATATTCTTTCTTGCTTTGGCTAGCCAAAATATCTTCATCAGAGGTTTTACTTAGCTGTTTAGGAGAGACTTGCCTATCTTTTTGCTCTCCAATTTGTGAAAAGTTAGACTTTTTAAATTTGTGCTCTGATCGGCAATTTTCTTTCCCAAACTTTTTACTCTGTCCGACAGAAGCATCAGTCTTCTCTTTTACTGAAACCTGTGAGTCATCTGATCCCTGATAAAGTTCTGTTTCATCTTCAAATCTTGATACTGTATGGATATATTTGGCACTAACCACTGGTTGGGAAACTTCTTTTACATTATACCCAGAAGTTTTATGTTCTGTTTTTGTAGCAGCTTTCTCAACACTGGAATCTTCTTGCACTTCAAGTTCATCCTCAAATCTTGACAGTCCATGACCATGCTTTGAACTCACCACTGGCTTAGAAACTTCTCTTATGCAATACCTAGATGTTTTATTTTCTGTTTCCATATCAGTTTTCTCGAAGCTAGGATCCTGTTGAAGTTCTTGTTCATCTTCATATCTTGATACTGTATGAACATATTTTGAACTACCCACTGGTCTGGAAGCTTCTCTTATGCTATACTTATAAGTTTTGTTTTCTGTTTCTGTAACAGCTTTCTTAAAGTTGGAAACCTGATGAAGTTCTAATTCACGTTCAGATCTTGATAGTTTATGACTATGTTTTGAACTAACCCTTGGTTTGGAAACTTCTTTTACATTATACCCAGAAGTTTTATTGTTTGTTTTTGTAACAGCTTTCTCAATGTTGGGATCCTGTTGAAGTTCTAATTCATCTTCAGTTTTTGGTACTGTAAGGGTATGTTGTAAATTACCCATTGGTTTGGAAGCTTCTTTTATGCTATACCTAGAGGTTTTATTTTCTGTTTTTATAATGGCTTTTTGAAAGTCGGAATCCTGTTGAGCTTTTAATTCCTTTTCAAAATTTGATAGTGCAGGGCTATGTTTTAAGTTAGATTCTAATCTAGAAATCTTTTTCACACAATGTCTGAACTGAGTATTAATTTCTGATTTTGAGGAAAGTTTCTGAAAGTTGGATTGTTGTTGAAGATCTGTTTCATCCTCAAGTCTTGATACCATAGGGATTTGTCTTAAACCAACTCCTGATTTGGTAATCTCTTTGAAACTGTGTTTCAAAGTTTTATGTTCCTTTTTTGTAGTAGCTTTTTCAAAGTTGGTATCCTGTTGAAATTCTGATTTTTTTTCAAATCCCAGTACTGCAGAACTCTGTTGTAAATTAGGCTGAGGCCAAGAAACTGCTTTTATAGTGTGCCTAGAGTTGTTATTTTCTGATTTCAAAGAAACCTTCTGAATGTTGGACTCCTGTTCTTTTTCTCCTGAACTTGAGATTACAGATACATGTCTTGAATTGCCATCTGACCAACATGACTCTTTACTGTCTTGCTTGACAGAAATATTAATATGTTCCTTTGGTGTAGTTTTCAAGCAATGTAAATTGTTTCCAGTTTGTTGCTCTGTAATTTTTGATACTACTGAAAGTTGTCTCAGATTGTTAACTGATCCAATTTCCTCTTTTCTGCAAGGGCTTTCTTTATGAATTCCATTTATAGATGCAGTTTTTCTTCGAGCTTGAAGTTCTCCCCCAAATATACCCAGCAGAGCTTTACGATATATTAGTCGAGATCCCTGGTCCTGATCTTGGTCTTTTATTCTTTTCCGACCACATTCAGCCCACCTTTCTTTTAAAACACTTTTTCTTTCGGGATTTGGTGCAATGTTTGTTCCTGTATCACTGCAATCTTCTTGCTTGATCTAAATAGTAAAGAATAAGATAAGCTTCATAAATTATAAGTGGAAGCCAACTTACAGAAATATTAAACCCACACTAGGTTAGGCAGCAATGGCCATGTTCACCAGCAATAATACATTGAGATTTGAGAGAATTCTTATTTACAGGCCACAAGTTATATGGAGATACAGAAATGTTTTTTCTTCTCACTTGGCTCCTCACACTATCAGGACTAACTAAGCCTGCCAGAATCTGAAAGCTTGGCATGTCATCTGAACCAGGACTCCTGGCAACCTCCTACAAACCAAAACTGCAAGTCAACATTTGTTCTCAGTTTATAATTCCTTACTACAAGGAACTACAAGGAACCAGCCAAAATAATTTAGATGATATCATAAGCTATCAAATTCTGGTTAAGCTAAATGTTTCTCTGGTGGGGACAAAACTGTTACAAAGAGAAGCATGCAGTCATGAAAAAATAACCTAATATTTATCAAGGACTGTAAAAAAAGAAAAAATATCTAGGAACTTTATTAAGAATATTTTAAAAGGCTAAATGGGGGTGGGGTGGGGGTTGCATAACTGACATTAATTATAGAAAAATACTTCAAAAATTACAAAATAAAATCCTAATGACTAGATAAAAATTAAATTATCCTCAGAAGGAAAGAAAGGTTATCAAATTTAGTCAAATAAGGGATTTTGAGGCCATTCATCAATAAGTCCTTACAAAGCAGTATTGTATAACAAACAACTGCAGAGTAACAAAAACACCTAGGAATCAACGCAGATCTGTATCATATTTCCCTCTGCAACTCTTTTTACCCCGCAATTCGGGTTGCTACTTACGCACCTTCTGTTTCACAGACTCCCGAGAGGATGCTGCCACATTTTTCATAGACATATCAGAGGCGGTGGGCTTTACAAGAAAGCTTTTGCTGAGAACAGGATGGTCTTGGCCTTCCTTGGCCCCACTGCCGATGCCATCGTCTGCTGCAAATTCGTCCGAGGAAGAATCCCCTGCAGCGAATGAAGTTCGGGAGAACTCCCTGCACGACGACGCGGGGGAGAAGACGCGGGTCTCCCCCCCCGCGGCAGCCTCGTCGCCCCCGGGGCTCGCGAGGGGAGGCTGAGGCGGCGCTTCGGTCAGCCTGCAGAGTTTCGCAGGCGAGCTTACAGCGAAGCTGTCCCACTCTATTTTGCGTCGCATGCTGGGCTGCATCAAGGCTAAATTACCTGGACATTAAAACAGAAAAAGAAAGTCAAGTTTTAACGCATTTCCGCCTTGGATACC